GTGTTGCGGACACCACTATACTCGGCACAATGCTCCGGGACCTTGCCACCTTCCAGCCAGCCCTCACCATTACCACGCACTGGCAGCCTACCACGGCGTCCCAACGACCGCCCCGTCTGGGCTTACCTCACCCCAACCCTGGGCACGACCCTCATATCCATCAACAGGCTACATACAACAAAGGTCCGCTGGGTGGGAGACATTACCAATGATAAAGGCACCATGCTACTTAGCCTTGAGTCTCTCCGCACCAAATTTGGGTGGTCCAGGCACACGCTCCAACGGTTTGCTCCCATCTGGGACGCCATCCCCACAGTTGGGCCACCCCACCCCCCACCGGCCCTTCGGCAACAAACACTACCGTGGGCCCCCCGCTCCGCCGGCCAACCACTGCCTCTCCCACAGGCACCACCGCTCCGTTCCCCCCTACCATACCTTGCCCACCCTCTTGGCCGCACCTTCTTTGTCCCCACCCCGGGCTATGCAACCCTACACATCCCTGTCCACGCCATGCTAGTCATCCCACACCACCTCACCCATCAGGATGGACAACCCCCCACTCTCAGCTACCGCATCGGACAGCGCAATAGTATCCAAACCCGGCAATCACCCGCGGGCACAGAGATTGTCGTCACCTTCTGGCACGAACTCCGCAAAGGCTCTGACATCTGGTACTCCCCAACACCGCGTGAAGCGCGCGGCCGCCACAGACTGGTATCCATTACCGACTATGCAGTACTTATCGGCAACCTCCTACCCACCAGCCGAGCTCAACGCCACAAGTTTATTCCCTGGACCGACACGTCATGGACCGACGCACGTACCCATATCACCCACAGCGGGGAAAATAACCGCTCCCTCATTGCCTCCACCGCTGGAGGCACCACCGACCGGGCCCAGCAGCCAACGCCGGCATGTACCGCATGCCACCGCCTAGCGGACACTACTATATGTCCCGACTGTGGCCAATGGCATCACTCGGCATGCATCCCACACTGCCAAGTTGTCCCACATCACACTACCCCAACGTACGGCCTACACACCCTCCCCCTACGGGCCGCGCGCGCTTATGCTGTGGGTGATGGCAGCGTCACACACCAGGGTACTCCAGCCACACATGGAACATGGAGCTACATGGGCCGCGACGGAACCACCCTCGCGGGGACCTTACAAGTTCACGCTAACCACATCACACCCACGCGTTGCGAAATACATAGCCTCCTGGTGGGCCTCCATCATTCTGGAGATGCAGCACTA